TATGCTTAATATAGAAGGCCCTATATTAAATGAACTATTACCTGTGTCGCCGTGTTACCTTTCGGGATGGGGTATGGAGGAATGGATTTCTCTTAAGCTCAAGCTTTAATTCACAGACGAACGTCCGACGACCCCATGAAGCGGAAGCAATGGATCATCAAAGAATGCGGTATTGGATCAGGCTATATATGAAGTGTTTAAAGAATTAGTGAGTAAATAACTGAATTTATAATTACATTGGTGGAAATTAATGGTTAATGAAGAAATAGTTGTAGAAATTTAAAGAACATGAGATTCAGCAAAGATACAGTAGTTTTTTGGCCACAGGTGGCTCTAATAATAATAATTAAAAAAAAAAAACAACATTGTAAGTAAAAAAAAAAAAACAGTAACATATTTTACGTTACACTAGGTCTGCTACTAATAATCAAACACACCAGTTTACTCGGATCTGAAACACAGCATATAAAACAAAGAGGAAGCTTAAAGCCACACTTCCTAGTAAAAATGTTTTTGAGATGATGTAGTACTGAGTTTTCTAAGACAAAGAATAGTATTTGACGAAAAACTCGGAAACGGTTATAAGATAATTTTGAAATATTTAACAACTGGGAGAATGGGTTGGTTACACCCATTTTCCTAGAGTTCTAAAGGGAAAGTAGCAACTAATTGCTCTCCACAAGAAAATTAAGCTAGCTAGCACTAATTCAAATTTTAGACAGTTGAGAATTCTAATTATACCACACTATTTGAATTCATTTTAATTCAACACAATGAGAACATTTTTAAGGGTAGTTGTTTTGTGTAGTTTTTAATAATTGTTTTAAAGTTCAATTTTATTTTCCTAATGTAGCTTAGGATTGTAATCACAATCAAATGCTTTTATAAAGTTTAGGTTTTTATTTAGACAATAATTTTACAATGGCACAGAGTTTGTTTGAAAGTGTACTTTTATGATATTGTATCGTGTGAACTATTTCAAAATAACGATGTAGGCTATGTGCTATTAAGTGTTTTGTTTTGTTGTTTAGTGAAGATGTAGCTTGGTGGTTAAGATGCTCGAATTCTAATCCAAATGTCCTAGGTTCAAATCATTTAACAGCCCAAGATTCTTTTCTCACGATCAAAAAACATCTCCACTACCTAAGCCTAGTAGGCCTATGAGACTTAGTTTATGACGCAACTTATTATTACTTCGAGTTTGTTTCTGAATATCAGCTTCTAAGCTGGAAGGGTCACACTCTATAGGCAAAAAATAACATTAAAAAGGTACTTGGGAGGACCACATTTAAAACAGGTTTTGAATTTTTAGGCTTATGTGTTATACTCAGTTACCATGTTGTTACGATTCGGGTAAATTTAATTTGCTAAAGAATGACTAAGGTTATAAAGCTATCTGTAACTATGTCTACCGCTGTTACATAGAATGCAACTGTATTCTATAACTGATGCAATCTAGACACTACAGTACTTCAAAGGTATTGCTTGACGTCACTTAAAAAAAGAAATTTTATTTAACAAAAGAGTTGTAATTATATACGTCTGGACAAGTCCCCACACGTTCAAGTTCCATTCGGTTGCGAAATGTTTGCTTAGTGATCTGAACTATTAACAGATTTTTAAAATACCCTCAAATTTTTTCCTGCAAAATGTTCTTAAAAGACTAGTCTACACCACTATACGAAATGTTTTTGACCTCTGAAATCAAGAAATGTTCTTAGTTTTTTAAGAATATTTTGCAGGAATAATTTTTTGGATAAGACGCCTCGTTATGGAGTTATGATTTTTTTTTAATAACATGATGTCAGAAATCAGCCCAAAAGCTTATCTTATTTCTGTTGGTTACGCACCGCTGGTTCGTAATGTTTGTCATTACTTCAAGATGTCTACCGATTCGTGGAAAAGGGTGCAAAATTTTACTGGTTCTTACAAAAAAAAACAACAAAAAAAAAACAACTGTATAGTGCTTGTCAATCTAAAATAGGTCTCAGCTGTTGTTGTACACCTTGGCCCAACCTAGGCCATTAGTTCAATGTTTTATGCATACAAATCAGACGCCCATTTTGTTTTTAAACTTTAACAAATCCAATGTAAGTTTACTCTCTAGGCTAGGGCGTGTCAGGTTGCTCAAAACTCAAGTTCGGCCTTATATTCCCGCAAACTTTCAAAATAGGGGGCGGGTATTGAACTCTAATGCTAGAATGCCTATAGGCATGCTCTATAGTCTAATACTAGGCCTATATATTAGAATATAATATAGTAAGCATACATGTACAAATATAAAAGTGTTGTATAAGTCTTACATGCGGGCCTACATTAATAGAAACATTTTTACATACGGTAGGCCTATACATAAATATTTATTCAGAATTTTAGAAGCTATTAGCCTATAGATATCTTCGTGTAAGAAGAAACTAGTAATTATGCGTTAATCCTGTTGTATGAAGAAAAGGCGTGGTCATCAATTTTACAATTGAATAAAAGTGGTCATGACTATGTTTAGGGTCAGGGAATTACGTATTTTAATGAAATGTCAATTTTGTATGAAGCATAATCAGCGTCTTCCGACACTGCACTGAGGTTTCTATACTTTTTCAAGAATTAAATTAGCGGAACGTAGAAACACAAAGAATTAGTATTATTTGCACAACAACAATAATTACCACAGGTATTTTAAATACGCACTTGCTGAAGCGACAGAGCGAAGATAATACAGGTATTGGCAACCACAGAAAACTGAATATTAATAATCTTACTTAGGCCTAGGCAGCATATATATAATAATACTTGTGTCTGGGTGAACACAACGACCCGATATTTTGAAAAAAAAAAGATTAAGACACATTTGGACGAACAATTCGTGTGTCTTCTCATATCTGTTCAAAGTCGAACACTGATCTTTTTTAGGGTCCAACGAATCACTGAAATGAAACGGAATTACATAAATGATGAAAAATTACCCGAATATATGTATTTTCCATAATATTTATTTTCATATAGTTCTTCTTCAACTTCAACAACAACAACTTCAACAACAGCAACAACAATAACAGGTTTTAAGCACAAATATCAACAGTTTCATAATAGATAAGTGAGTAGCACGATAACATTATTTAGACCTATGCATTGAATTTTTTAAAATTTAGTGGCAAACCTCTATCCGCCCCTGGAAATCATCTCATGAATGCTGATGCTTACTGTAACTTGAATTCCAAATGTGATAAAATAAGTATAGCGTTTTATATTAAACAAAACGCCCTGCACACACTGATACATCGATGCTTACGGTATTTATAATCAAGTAAACGACGGTTGCATGTAGAGATGGGTAAGTTTTGCTAAACTCTCGATATATCCCGTACTCCGTGTCATTATGAATCTAATAAGTCAATTTAATTAGATAAAACTATTCTTTGATAAATATCAGTTATCAAGATTTATTAACAAACCTAATTATCACCATGGATAGTTTCTCGACAAATTGTAGTTCACTTGTCAGTCCACATAGAGGGGGGTATAATCAGAATCGCGCAGTGAGTTGCTAGGTAGAGTATCTGTGCTAGAATTCCATTTTTTTTATAAGGCATTTCTCACGACTACCGTGACATTTTCTACTATCAATTTTTATTATTAGCGCATTAATCTTTAATTGTTTAAATCTATAAGAGGTAATGGTATCATATTATTGTTTGTCTAGATTTTACACTGTGTTATATTTTAACAATCCAAACATTATTTAACGATAGTTACCACGAAACTCTACCTAAGAAGATATTAAAGGTGGGCTGGAGAATTCTGGAAAGGAAGAGTTGTGAAGAGTCTGATTATACAAGGGCCTGTTTATGCTGAGCAAAACAAAAAAAACAAAAAAAACAAAAAAGTGTTTTTTAAACGGTTATTAAAAAACACATTTTTTTCCCCAGCAGAAACGGACCAAAAAACAAAAACACGATTAGAAATGCGTACTAAAAATGCGTATTTTAACACGCATTCGTTATAGGTTTGGCGTTCAGAAAACACGTGTTTTCTGGTACACCTTTCTGCTGCAACGCAATACCGTGTAAGTCATGACCCGTCGGTCACCCAAATTGACCTCTTCTTTGGTTTGATCGTTCGTTGTCCGCGGAAATTTCGGGGCGAAGAAAAAAAATTAACCCAACAGGATGACATACTTGAGGCTTTACCATAATTTTTTCGTACTTTCGCGGTGTGTTCTTCTTTCTCAGCATGCGCCGTAACTCGCAGGAAGTAAGGTCAACTTCAACTTCCGTTGGTGAAGCTCCGCCCACCTGCCAATGCTCGCATTACCGTGTTTTTATTAGTTGCACTTTTCACTAGAAACGCGTTCCAAAGGAATGTAACCGTTCAAATAAAAAAAACCTGGTTTTGGGTTATTCAGCAAAAACACGCTTTAAGAGACTTGCGTCACAGTTCAGCTAGTGCTGTGTATTATATATTACAGTGTATATTATAGTTAAGCTGGTGTAAGTTTGTGTTCTTTTTATGGACGCACTGGTATTTTTAATAAATTATTTTTACATATCTATATCACGGGGTGATATAGATATGTGTTTGATGACTTAACAGGAATTTTAAACCACAATGTTTACAATATAATATATCCATGTAATTCCTGTCTCTTATACACATCTAGATGTGTATAAGAGACAGGAGTAATGGTGGATGAGCTTTTAGTCAAGATTTAACAAGATAAAATAACAACACATGTAACTGCTTCAACTGTTTATTATAAAGTGTCAAGAAAAACGGAAATGACATAAGCTGACCTATTTACAAACTCTAGGTGGCGGTAATGTATGACACAGTGGAACATGCGATATTATTAACTATAGAGGTCGCTACGTGATGGTGAAGTTTATAATCTAGAGTATCATACACATTAGACCACAGATAACTATAGGATATAGGGAAGATCTACCCCAGACACTTTCATTCAACTGACCGAAACGCTCACACAAAAAACACAGGAAACAACTGAATGGAATCTACCTAGTATTTGTTTATTTCAAATATTGCAAATCAAGTGTATACACCAAGGAAGCAAACTGAATTCATAACTCGTGTTGTATGGCTATATCATTATTATCATTATTTATTGTTATTACTATTAAGATAAATATATAGCTATATGCACCTACCACATATCAGACGAGAATTACACTTCCATTATTGTATTATTTTAAATACTAATAATAATGCTTTAATTTATAAATAGGTACAAAACTGTTGGTGATCAGTAGACCTATAGAATGAACACAACTTTGATATACCCTAAACAATAATGGTACATTCCATAATATTTGCTCAATAAATATTGGTGGTTTATTTTTCGTTTGGCAGTTGATAGGAGTTCACCCCTACAAACAAAAGAACATAAAATAATAATCCAAAATATTACTCTATTGAATAACAATATTAATAATAGTAGTATATAAAATTACATTGATTGCACTAACTTGGGGGGAAAAGGAATGGAGGGATGAAACAACGAGGATAAATGAAAACAATTATACGAATAACAAAAAAGTCTACTAGTGTACTACCAAAAAGATCCATAGCATAGAACCAACAAAAAACAACGTTACTGAATCTGAACAAAGCCTAAAAATAATAAAAATTAATTACAAGATTGAATAGCTTATTTAAAAAACCAAACAAGTTATCAACTTCGAACAAGATGCAAATAATAAAACACTTTCTTCCACATTTACAGACTTTACTATGAAATGGATTAAACTGGTCAACAGCTAATTAAAGACTTGTGCAAAGAAAAAGAGAATGACAATAATAGGTAGTTTTTGCAGCACGACGATAACCTTAACGTTAACGGATGACATCATAATTTATTCATTTTGCATTGCGGAGTACGCTAATTTCAGGATTTTTCGTGCTCGACTACGTTTAGTTACGGGTTTGCGCATGCGTATTTCGAATTGTTTACAAAAAGGGGCGGAGCTATCGCGTTGCATGTTGGGTACTAACGTTAAAGTTTAGGTTAACGTCGTGCGGCGAAAACTACTTATTAATGTGCTTGTTAATTGAAAATGGATACTTTTTTACTCTAATGCACCTTTCCAGATGTCAATCAAACTTAACTGGCCAATCAGGACAGAGCTACAGATACGTGCTTGCCCCCACAAATGTAGGCGTTATCTGACACATGTTTACGTACGTCATTTTGTGGGAGCTTATCAACAAGGTTCAACGGGGCGTGGCTTAGCGGAACGGTCCAATATTGACAAGAAAAATACTTATTTGTTGGATTTATGTTCGAAAGCTGATAACTTTATTGGATATACGTAGTAAGTAATCCAACTTTTGAAATGTATAATTCAAGATAATTAGCACAACAGTATATTTAATTATTATTATTAATTTAACCATTTCTTCCTAAAAGATGGTAACAATCATCAGAGCATAATGTTAACAAAAACAATAAATATTATCATACAATGATATTCGTAATAATATTATAAGAAAAAATAACATCGCCATACCACAGCAAATACATCATAATACCAACGATACACATAATAATTATAATCATAATAACTTGAAAATATTTTTTAATGCAAATTAGGGCAAAATTAAGCACAAAATAAACATATCTTTGGTATAAACTATTGGTCAAATAAATAGGTGGTATTATTAAATGTATAATTTTAACAGCAGAAGAATTGGGTTCAATAATTGGGAATTCACAGTGAAATAATAGAAAGGAAAATCAATGAGGAAAAACATATTACACATTTTTCATTCCACATTATCAATAAATTATTCTGTATATATTTAAATATTACTTGCATGACCCTAAAACTTCTTAACAGGTTTTATTTGATTGGTTAAACATAAATTGCATCTAAAGAAAATATACCAAATGAAAATTTCCTTTATGAGTTAAAGGACCGGAGTGACTCAAAATTACCAAAACAATGTATTGATTGATTTAGGTACATAAACACAAAAGTAATTATTATCCCTGGTTACCGCTTTAAAATTACTGCATTTATTAACTACTGTATCTTTTAATGTACCCACGTTTCCAATTCTTACCTTGTTTGTACCACAATAATAATAAATATATTTTAAAAAACACACAAATGGACTAAATAATGTCTGTTCCATAATTACAGTGAAGTTCACAGGAACAAAGATGGTTCCCGGTTAGAGAAGAAACAAACTAAAGTACCTAAAGTAGATACAGTATGTGTTTGTTAAGAATATGTATTATAAATTGTGTAACAATGCTAGCATAAATGAATGTACAGTAGTTAGATAATTCCCACAATGTAACACCATGAATTAAGATTCAGACAAAACCACTTTAAAGTAAGATAACAGATTTTGCGTAGTAGAGAAGCAAACTCTTAATAAATGATATAATTTGGCAAGATATTATAAACAGAGGTGGGAATATTATATCATAAAAAATTGAGGAAACAATGTAGAGAAGCATTGTGGAAAAAACCTAAAAGAAATGCCTATTTTATGTAGATATGCGATACAGAAACCTACAACACAAACTTTTAAATTGATTGAAGAATTTCATTATTAATCATATATAAATTTCCTTAATATTAGACCAAAAACTATGAATATGCAGTACCTGACAGTTTTGAGTTGACTTTCTAGTCTTTGTCATAACGATGTGGTAGTTTGTTATTCCAGCTTTAAATGAAGCTCTATGATGAAAAAATCATGAGGGAGAATACAGAATACAAACACCTCATCTCTGTTTGAGGGACTGGTACTCACTTATTACTAGTGGTACAAATCCATCAGAGGATAGTGTAACAACACGTCATTATGATTACCAAAACGGTCAACGAAAAAGCATGTCAATTTTAATTTTTGTTCTGATATTAAAGAAATTGACATCATTTAAAATTCTAATTGAAAACAAACACAATATTTCATCCTTTACTATAACTCTAATAATACGTTAATAATTAAAAATAGCAAACCTTTGAGTCATGACAGCGACAAACAATCAACTATAAATTATTAGTTAAATACTAAAAACGTAAAGTACCATCAATTATACCATTTCTATAATAAAATTAAAATCTTAAGTTCTGAATTATTATTCCTGAACTGACAAATATAAACCACTTTACATCATGGCTGAGTAGTTTAAGAACATAATATCTGAATTAGTCATTTGCACCAGATAAAAAAATTATATAAAAAAAAATATCACACACTTGAAATATGTATAGAACTGACTACCGTGTTATCAGAATATGTTACTATAATAGTTTTGTGTTACGAGTTAAAATAATGTACAAATGTATATTTACATACCTACTATTATATTATTTCTTACCGTATATCTAAAGTATTTTGAAACAGGTTTTAAGGCTTACTGTACTTGCATACAATTACTCAAAGATCTCATGATTTTTATATTCATAATTTACTCATTGTAAAACCGTTAAATATACGCTACAATGCTAGAAAATGCTAAACTTCATTTATTCGCTCCACAACGATGGGATAAATCTGTAACGGTTTCTCTCACCAAAATGATAACTGCAAAAGAGTTTTCTAGTCTATTTATTATATAATTTGCATTAAAAATATCTAATATTGTTGCCTTTGAATTCAGGTTAACAACATGCAGAAAATGTAACCCTCGACAACATGTCTATTAAATAATTGAAAGTGACGCAGCAATCATGTGACACATGATGGCCAATAGGAAGTGTTGGAAATGTGACATTATGCTGACATACAGATATATCTACATTAATGTGATAAGTTAATAACAAAAACACAGAAAATTCATGTGAAATAGTTTTTCACCAAGTCCACTTAAAAAACTGACCAAATATTTGGCACATCTAAAAAATTGAGATGTGTTGAAAAACGATTTGAAAACTAGAATACAAATTGTGACCAACAAAATCAGGACAAGTTGTGTAATGACCAATAATAATGCTGAATGAAAGTCACATGACTGAGTTAACCCAATCACAGCTAGAGAAATAAATGTGCAAGATCCTTAAAAAAAACCCTGCAATATAATGGCCACCATGTCAAAATGAACAAACCGATGGAGGTCATGTTTGAATAACCACAATGTAAATAAAATTTTGCCTTTAGGACCTTAAATTTATTTTCGTTAATGGACTAAAAAAAAACACTTTACTTTATGGAGACAATATGAAGGAATTGTTATCTTTCGTAATACTTCAGTCCTGCTGAGAAGTACGGTAGAAACATGACCCGTTTTTGCATTGCAAACCATGATAAATGAGCCACATTCAAGAAACCCATACAAATCATATACATTTTTCTGCTATACATGTTTTTTTTTCTATAATCTCATATTATCCATATATCACACAATTTTCCGTAATAAAAAAAAATCCATTATGATGTGGATTTTGGTTGCTTTAATCTGACAGCAAATTATAACAGGTATTTACACCTTTTTAGTGTTGGCATGACTGTTTAAAAAGTTTAGGAGAACTTTAGTTTGGATCAATTATAAAGCTCAACTATCAGAAATATTATAATAATTGCACTCTGGCAACTACTGCACATATAATAATATTTTGCACACAAAAATAAAACATGTATGTACAGTATATGTGTATTTGTAATACGTTTCATTTATGTGTGGTCACTACAATTTTCTGTGAATGTGTGTATAAAAAAATTTAGTTAAGAGTTTAAAAATTAACATTTGGAGGTTTGGGTTTGTATTGCTCTGGGATAATTTGTACTGATGTCATTTGAAATATTAGAACTATCCATTGATGGACAGTCTCTGGTCACGTAGCACTTATCTACCGACCACTGGCAATGCATTTAATACCTAATTGTATTTTTCTTTTCAATCAAAAGCTTACATACAGTGAAATACTGTATTCCAAAATACTGATGTCTTCCTGATTTATATTCCATTAAGAGTTGGAGTCACAAACCTTTGTCTGCCACAAAAAGTTCTAACTTGACTAAGTTCTGCCTCTCAAACAGGCTAAAACCTCTATGACAACCACACTCAGACCAAAAAGTTACAAACACAACACACCCCACACAAAATAGTATTAGTAATTGTTTTATAGAATACCTTACAAAATAAATACTGTAAATTAGGACACAGATAATCATGAAAAAAAAAACCCACGAAGTTTACCCTAAAGTGGTACACAGCCAGCAAGTGAATTGTAAATAGATTTTGTTAAAAGGTTTGCCAACTGTTACTGACCCTGATTCAAAGTATTATTACTGCTTTTAACTCTCCTCAGCATCTTAAAAACACCTTTAAAAAGGGAAACACATATCTAAATTAAAAAAAATGAGGTTTTAAATAATATAGAAACTATGAGTTTACATATTTATTATAAATAAAATTGAGGTGTATCTAGCATATAAACTTTATTTGCAGATGTAATCTGAATAGTAGCTTTGGATAAACCTAACCACTAGAAATGGTTGACAGAGAAAAACAAGACATGCCAGTTCAAACCGGTCTGCAGTGTATGCAACATTTGATAAAATCCGGTTAGGACCAGTTTTTCCTAAAGAAATTTCTAGTACTTTATTTGATATTTTTACTGCCAAATGCAGTACGGAGTCAGCGTTTACTACACTTCGCTTCTGATTCATCAACATCCTTCTCATCAGAAACTCCTTTCTCTTTCAGACCGCTTATGCCAAGCTCCCTTCCTACTTTTAGCCAGTTATCTCTGTTTGCCTCGCAGCCTGTCTTGAGTGGAGCCAGTTTCTCAAAGCCCGTTGATAAAGCCTGATGATTACAAACATAGAACATTGAAAACTAAAATTACACCTTTTATGCTTTGCAGTACATGCATGCATACCCACACCACTTACCTTTTTTGAAATGAATATTCATCATTGTATAATAACCAGTGAGCAATCAGCATTATCTCACAGTTACAAAAATTATAGGCAACATACAAAGTACAAAGTGTGAACCATATGTAAAGTAATGTAGTTAGATTTATATAGCGCATTATACCCTAGTCTGGCAGTGCTCAAGGCAAAGAATAGCTCGTACAGTAATTTCATTCTCCCCTAAGGGTCACTTAATGTCTGAGCTACCTGGTGAACCGATGTTAGCTACTCTTGTCTGTTCACAACCTGTATGGACCATTACACATTACACCGGTATAACCTCCCTACCATCTTGGAAAATGTACTGGGTTATTTAAGTGCACATGAAGAAATTGTGTACACTGTGCCTATGGGTTAGGAACCATATCTAAGTAGACCTGTTCCAAAACCAGAACCAAAGATGAGCATGCTTCCCGAACCAGCGCTTATGTAATGGCTATAGGTTGCAACACCCCTGCCTCAACTGCTCAGTTGTTTGACTTTTCAAACTCCAACTGATTACAACCCCCAACAATACTACAACTAATATCATCATACAGAACGACACATACATAGACGGTTTATGAAAATGATAATGATAACATCAATATAACTAATAGAAAAATAACAACCACCCAACAACAATAGTAAACAGTGCAGAATTCCACACCTCAATTTGCTGTTCAGATTGTGCTTAATTATACACTTATTTTCATTAGTTAAATCAGATAAAAAAAGTAAAAAACATCAATCATAGTAAAATTGCCATAAACAGGGGAAGTATAACTGAAGAGTAATTACCTTATAAATTGGAAGGCATATTGCATCGATAAAACTAACTTGCATTTTTGGCAAGAGGTGGTGCTTCTCCCTATTCATCATATCCTAAAAGAAAGCATGCAATATCTATGTATAACACAACATTTTCTTAAATAATTCATAGTGCATTCATGTGGTTTTTCTTATATATTTTTGATATCTTAAACTATATGTTAATAGAAATGATAGCATTGAAGATAACCAAGTATGAAATTATATCTGCTGAACAAAAAGGATGAATGACCCTAGATTAACTTTTTTGACTTTTGATAAAACCGTATTACTTTGTATGTCAACTATATTGAAATATTTGGGGGCGTAGGCCGATTTGGCATTGGGTGGGGGGGGGGGAAATGTGAAAATTGAGATTACGGAATTAATTACCTACCCCAATGAAAACTGATTAGTCATGTTTGGTATTTTAACCCACTGACATCCGTCCCTACCAGCCTATGCCTACGATATTAATAATTTCAATATTTCTCTATAAAATTCTTTGTGTCAAAAATACCCACCTCTGGTTCTACATTCAGTTCTCTCTCCAAGTCACCCTGTTCAAAAAACTCTCCAGACACAAGTTCAGCAACCTGAAAAAAGCAACTATATTGTTTTTGGGAAAGAGCAGTTTAGCTCAGTCAGCTAATCTAGTGGTAGCCACTGAGTGTGCGCTGAACCGCGGAGATCCGTAGGTCCCCGGTTCAATTCCCATCGCTGCCTCTCCTTGTATTTCAGCTGGAGGGCTGAGATGCAAGTTATAATAGCGCATAGTTGATGAAGATCTCTGATAAGGATCATATGTTCTGAGTAAATACTCCGTTTCTATTTTAGCTTTACAAAAAGGAAAATTTGTCATCTATATATTGTTTTTGGTAAATTAAAACTTAAGATGTTAACAAAAAATTAAGCTACGAGATAGTTACTAAAGTACTTTCTTACAAACCTCTTTCTGAACTTCCCACGGCTTACTGATTGCAGAAACATCGCATGCTGTCATCAACATCCCGCGCAAAATCTCGCGGTTTTCCTCGTCATACCAATCACAGTCTTTAGATTTCACCATGTTGAAAAATTCACCTCTTGACCTATGGAGAATCACAAAATAAGATAGTTTGAAACACAAGTTTTGGTGAAAGATACTGCATCATTATCCTTACACATTCTGAGTAGTTGGAGAAAGTAATTTTCGCAGAGATGTTTAAACGATCTTAGCACATCAAATTTTGTTTTGCAGCTTATGTTGATACTAATCGACACAGACTTCCATGAGACAAATGATAATAAAGGGGTAATACAGTAGTAAAAAATATGCTGATTTAATTAATTTGCCAGAGATGGGCTATTTTCCGGGGAGACTTTTGTCTCCCTGAAAAGTGCGCAAGTGCGGGAGGCTGTCCGGATTTCTGGGGGACTCCTGCGACCTGCATTCTAAATCTAGGTACACACCGATTTCATTTGTTAGACTTGATATTTCTCAGACTTTTGTATGCTTCTTTCATACATATCTGATCAAACAAATTGGGTGTTATTTGATACTGGAAGCCGGATACTGCTGTCTAGACTATCAAATTTTAATTGACAAAACATGTGACATGCCTAAATACGGTCATAACAACATCAAACCATGATCATATATAGGCACATTATGACTATATATGGGCACAAAACAGTTTTTTGATGAAGAAAATTTAGTAATCTGACAGATATCATCATATACATTTTGAGTTCTTGTCCATTTTGGTGACTTTTCTTCATTTGATGGCAGATCTCCAAGCTCCTTTTTTGTCAAGTGCAGAGGCATTGCTATATAAATATAATTATTATATTATTATCATGATCACCATCATCATTACTGCCATTATTGATAATATAGTCATCTTACTTGAAATACACTGCAAGATCGGTGGACAAGATTGCATGTTCAACAAGACGTATAACCTGTGAGTACTCATCTGGGGACAAGTTATTAAATATCTCACAACCCTGCAAGATAGAAAAATCATTTATGGTCAAGTGGCTACTGTGCTCAACCTTAATTCTCTGGATGCTGGGTTCAAATCTTAAAATGATCTAATTTTCATGATGATCATAAAATCTCCCTCTTTGCAGCCAATCCCCTTTAATAGGCCTTCAGTGCCTTCGGCTTCCCCACTATAGGCCTCAGAATGACCCCTTGTAGCCATTAGCATTAACTTTTAATAAGAAACCAATCATAAACCGCCATAGCCAAATGACCTTTTATTTTCAACATTTTGCATTTTTTATGTGAAAATTTCTATCTGTCTGAATGTCAACTAAATGTCAGTGAACCGACTGCACTGTCATTAGGCCATGTTTACGCAGACGTCCTTTCGAGGGAAATGACTTGAATTAACTTATTCCAATGTTGTTATTCAGAATTACTGTACTGCACATCAATCATCACACATCAGAAATAAAATCATTATTATTAACATCTTCATGTATTTAAAATCGTCATCAAAATTAACATTTTCATCAGTAAAATTATCAAATTTCTCATCAAACTTATAATCATCATCATCATCATCACGATTGCTATCTTCATCCTCATAGCAATTTCCATCCTCATCACCATCCATCATTAGCTGTCATCTCCGCCGTCACCCTCATCAATGTAATTATCAATAAAACATGATTTTGTATCCCACACATTTATTTAGACAGCTTTGTAAATAGAAGACTAACTACAGTACCAACCTTACTATTCAGAATCATTATACATTGATCAAAATGGTGATGTTCCATGACAGATGTAGAGTACAGTTGGGCCAGAGAAGATTCTGTCCTATAAGATAAATGATAATGATAATAACAATAATATTATTAACAATAATAGTTTTACTTATGACTATTACTAAGCAGTGGCGGATTCAAGAGGAGGGGGGAACCAGTCTGCACAGGCCCACCTAAATTTTTCATAATTACAGTATAACAAAAAAATGAGGAAAAAAGGAAATTTTATTCAAAATGAGAGTGCCATTTCCGGCCATCTAGAAATGCCATAATCGTAATTTTTTCTGTGGAAGCCCCTCCCTGGGCCCCATCTAGTTCAAATTCTTGGATCCACCACTGCCAATTTTATTTTTAGGTAAAAAATGGTTAAGGTCGCAACCTGAAGCTCTGGGCTCACAGGCCGGAGTGCCCATCTCTCTTTCCTTGGAGTTTGGGCAGACTGTGCAAGGCTGCATAGTCTGTTTCCCCTTCCCAACATATGCCGGTACCCGTCTATACACCTGGGTTGAGAGAGATAAACGTAGATAAAGTGCCTTGCCAAAGGACACAAGCGACTTGCACAGCGAGGGTTTTGGACCCCCGACCTTAAAGTTGAGATTTCAAGCCACTCCTACTATTTTATTTTTATCATCAATATATCAACTCACATTATTTGGTACTTATTATTTGTACCTCGATGATCAAGGTCGTGGCATAAACACGCAACCAAGAGCGCCATACATTCCAAGTCAGAGATCACATTGCACAGTTGTCCAGTCTAGAAAGGAGATAGAAATACAAAATATAAAGCATATCATCAGTATTAAACAAAAGATATAACTCATACACATTTGCATAATCACCTCAACCATCATCACAGTCACCACAATCATAATCATAATCATTATCACCATTATCATTATCACCATTAACATCATCACCACAAGTTTTGTGATATCATCATCATAATACTATGAGCTAATATCATCATCCTCATTAATATTAGTTTTTTTATTCGACCATATTTTTAGAAGGTGGCTCTAAAAGCAGTGCTGACTCGAAGAGGCCCTCTTTCAAAACAATACAAAATCTTTCAAAATCATAACTACAATGAAATCAAATATGAGAAAAAATTGTTAAATACCACAGTTAAAATCATTGGAAGAATAAAACATTCAATAGTTAAAATCATTAAAATTGTAAGAACAATTATCATCATCACTATCATCATTAGTATCAACATCACCAACATGACAACCATAATCAGCATCATATCACCTCCATCATCACAAAAAAATCCAACAAATCTCTTTACTTATATCTATTACATAAACCATCCAAATTCCCATCCAACTTCAAAATTCTATCTTCAAACACAAAAAATTCCTCATAGACTTCAGGTGTCACAAACGCAGACAGCAAGTCTGTCCTGAAATTTAACCTTTAACCCTTAAAGATGTGTTTGCCTGACCCTTAATTAACCTCTCAGTGATAATCAAACATCTTAGTAAACAAGATGGTTTGGTGGCAACTGTCAAAACGTCAAATATACAATTGAATATCATACGGAGAGAAATCTAATATTAACGTTTAAAGGACTTATCCATGTTGAGCTAAGTAGCTTGAATTGTACAATTTATTATTTAAAATTTTGCAATGTTTTGATTTATTTTTTTCAGATTTTACTATGGATGGTAAATTTTTAAAATGAAAAGAAGGTAATCAAGTTGATAATATATATCTACATGTTGTATATTACATTTTACTATACCTCATAATTAGGTAACAGGAACATGTCACTGGGCAATTTCACCCAATAAGCGGTGCAGTATTTTTTACAAATTCACATGCCAAATTTATGGATACGCGGGGAAAAGAGTACTGCCCAAAATTCACTACCGCATCTTAGTCTATGCGAACCGTAAGCAAACTGTATAACTTCACCCTCGGAGTTCAAAACAGCTAAGTAGACAGACGGTTTGCTGTTTAATATGTATGAGTTATACTAAAACAATTACAACATGCTTTTTTTTCTGCAAAAGCAGTGAATCCTACTTCCCTCGTTGGGACAATTGAGACTACATAATTCACTCCGCTTCACATTGGGAGGTAGTCCCAATTATCCAACACCTCAGGAAGTAGAATTCAGTACTTCATCTCAAACCATGTTGTATTTGTATAATATCCATGTTACCTAGAAGAGCAAGAGAATTCTATAACTTACTTTGAGAATTGCAAACATTGTTTGTGACACGCTAAATGCATGTCTCCAATTATGATATGTCACATTGCGGTAATTTTTCCGAACGCTCAAAAGCCATCGACACATTGTCTGCAAAAAAACAATTCAATATAAATGATCATTGATAGAATAAATAATGGTTAGTACATTTCCATAGAATAATATGGAAAAGCTCTCTGAAACTTAGTTGTGTAGAGCGCTATATAAAACCTACATATAAGTATTATTATTATTGATGTTGATAATGATGAAAATGATGATACGATGGTGGTGGTGATTATGAAAATGATGATAGCCATGAAGACGATGAAACTATAAAACTAATTATAATGGTAAGGAAGACCCTGAGGAGAGTATGATTACCAGAATAATACAAGGTGTTAAGGGTTACTATATTTAGCAACATTGCAAATTTGTAATTGAGACAATCAATGCTATGTGAAAAAACAGCAATTAGCATTAATTGAACAGGCTGATGATAACTGAAACATTGAGAACTTGATAAGATCTGAAATTGACAGACCAATCCCTTACCTCATAATTAATTCTGAACTTATTAAAGAAGTCCAGCTCGTGGAACATCCGGATACCGCCAACAAGCATTTCATCCTCCGAAAACCTTAGTTCGTTGAATGAGAACCTGGACAAACCTAATTCATTTATTGATGGGATGGACATTTTCTGTAAATGAAAAATAATTAACCCATTAAATCCATACAATTATTTCATCAGCACTTATTTTTATAGTTACATAAACAAATGAACAGTGTTTACTTTACCTTAAGTCGTTGGGCTTCCTCTTGTGGAGCAGTGGCATGGTAGGACAAAGTCTAAATAATAACATTGACATTATCAAATAAGTATGTTTATATTTATATAATAAACACATATATAATAATAAACACAATTAAATACTAAAAATAACATAGTCCATAATACTATTATAGTATTATCTGTAAGAATTTTTTCCTAATATTTTCTAGTATTTATTTAGTTATTTATACCTTCGGCATCCAACAGCAAGAATAATGGGAGTGAATGGAACTTTGACTCCCCAGTACAATAAATAATAAACACTAATTAATATTAGCAATAACACAGTCCATAATAGTATTACATTTTAACATTATTTAGCAGTATTCCATCAATACTCTATATAGTAATCTGAATGAATTTTAATTTTAATATTTACCAGTATATATTTATTCATTTATTTTTATTTATCCTTTCATACTAAACAGACTTCCCAGTATGATAAAGAAAGAAATGTCACCTGGTCAGAAAAGCTCACTACGGCAATTTATTGTGAAAAGAAAAAAAATGTGCCAGCAATTAGGGGCGCGACAACAAGAATCAAGTTTTATTCATGTTATGTCATTATTAACAGGGCATTCACATGATGTTCTTAATGTCTTCAACATGTATGTGTATGTTGATGTCTTTACCACTGGGAAATATCATTTGAGATATCTGCCAACATTAGAAAACACTTAAAAGAGAAATGTTTAATTCACATGGATCTATGGAATTGCATTGGAATTGAACCCTAGAGAAAACAACTTTATCCAAAGTTGTATCATCACCACATAGCAACAGTTTACTTTTGAAGATATCCAGTCTTAAATATTAAGTTTGCAATTGTAAGGAAGAAAAACAAAAAATTTGTCATAAATGTTTCTTTAAAAAAATATAAATATTATTTGTGAAACTATTAACAATGATTTTTTGATAGGAAATATCTCCTTTATTTTGAAAATAATATTTTAAATCCTAAATTATACTACTAAAACATTTCCCACCTAAAGTAGTCTAATAGCACTGTATATAATATGTGTGTAGGTAAATATGTGTGAAATATATATACTGTATGCTCCAAACCAGGTACTATAGGCCAGGTCATATTTTGATAGGCAGGTCGCATGTAAATTCATAAAACCTATTGCATAATTACTGACCTCAAGTGCTACACGTTGCTTAGCAACAGCTCGGCAGGCATTTTCATACATGTGTGTGTTTGTTATGCCAAGTCCACAGAAAATTGCAAATGCCTTAAAGAAAAAAATTAATTAAATAAATGTTAAGATTTCTAGTTTATAAGTCAGAGAGGAACCATTTTTAAATCTAGATCATTTTTAATATATATAATATGCACTATTTAAGATTATTATTATTATTATTATTATTATTATCATTATTATATTATACAAATATATCACAATATTTTTAAACATCATCAACCTTCTCCTAACAGTAATCTATCTCAATCTTTAACATCACTATCATAGTCATCATTATACCTCACTATTATCCTCAATGACTTTACAGTAAATTTTCATCATACCACAATTACTACAGAAGTAACCACTATCATAATTGCCATTATAATTTACATCATCATTATCATTGCATATTGCATAATAAACTCATCATTCACATCATTAAACCATCATCATTTACACCATTATAACCATACCATTATAACATTACTGATACATCATTATCATCTGAACACATAATTTTCTAATACGCCATTGTCATCATCATCATCATCATCCACCTTAACATAATTAACATTATTTAAATCATCCTTATCATCACAACCACAATCACACAAATACTTCAATTACATTCCAATATTAATAATTAAAATTTAAAAAATCACCTCAAACATCTCTTCATCATTCTTGTTAAAGGCAACTCCATCGATCTTGTTCACAAGCAAACTGACGCCAACAATGGTACCATTTGCATTTCGTATGGGCATACAAAGCATCTGTTTAGTTCTGAAGCCTGTTCGTTCGTCACACTGAAGATAAATAGTAAAAGTAAATGTTAATATGCGAGTTCCAATACAGGAATGAATGGCCCAGGATGTTTAAATTTCACTATTATCTTTCACTGTGCAGCGCAGTTTTATAGGAGTCGGCCACACTTTTGCACTAAGCTTCCGAATTTAGTCCATTTTTCCCATATAAACAATAACAAATAGTATAATTTTTTCCAAGATGGAAATTCCATTGTTGCTATACCTGACAGCAAGAGGCTTTGTGTAACAAGACATCATATAATTTATGAGGTTTTAAACTATAAACATGACACAAAGAAAACAAGATTTCTCAACTCAGACCCGAGTTTATGACACGTCTACACCGACGAAAACATATTTAAAGGTTATGTGCATCTGCAAGTTGTCATGTACGTTTACAGCTAAAAATACATTATTGTAAGCATAGAAATGTAATAAATCTTCAAAAGATCATGCATGTTGTATTTAATGTTGTCATTCAAATAGATGTATGCATCATCTACGGTATTCTATGTTTATTCTGCTCACAAGGAAGTGTGGTAGACATTTGAGATTTATTTAATGAAAAGAACAGTGATGAATTATCTTTACCTTTGCATCAAACTTTGGCTCACTGTAAGCATCAGATATATTCAAAGTCTGCAAGATATAATGGTAGTTTAAAATTACAAACTTTTCTTATATGCATTTTATTTCTGTTATCTATAGGAAGAAAACTTAAGTAAAGCTGAACCAACTGTGGCTAAAAATTCACATTATTCAAACACTAGAGTACAAACAATTGATCCAAAATACAATGTAGTATGGGTCAACATTTGAACTCCTTCTAAAGTGAGACAATGTGCTTTAAAAGACATTTCTTGACTTTTGAAGAGCCACTGCCAACTTCTGGAGGTTGAGAGGAATGTCTGTCAAAAAATTGATACTGCTTCCAGAGTAACTGCTAAATTCTGAAGATGGAGATGGAGATGAATGTTTGTCCAAAAAGATACTGCTTCCAGAGGGTTTACCAACCTCTGGAGGTGGAGTTGATTGTCTATCTAAAATTGATACTGCTTCCAGAGGCACTGCTGACTTTTGGACATAGAGATCATTGTTTGTCCAAAAGGTTACTTCTTCCACATAGTGTACTGACATCTAGAGGTAGAGATGAATGTCTATCCAAAATTGATATCTGCTTCCAGAGACACTGCTGATTCTGGCGGTAAAAGATGAATGTCTTTCCAACAATTGGCACTGATTTTGCCGACATCTGGAAGTTGAAATGAACATTGGCACTACCTTTAGAGATACTACTACAAATAAAGTAGAATTGATTGCTCATTTACAAGAATTGAATAAGTTAAGAATTGAATAAGTTATCAACTTTCAATAAGAAACAGGTTAAAACAATTTAGCTAATTTACAAACTTAGTACACCAAAATGATTTACTTGAATACTTATTTAAAGACACAAAATGTACAAAATAAATCTACCAAAGAACATAAGATGGTATTAGTTATCAAGAAGATATTCTCTAAATCAACGAATTAGTAATTGAAAGCCAATTACAGTAATTAGTTTATTAGCTTAACACAGAGAGAATATTATGTAACTGGAAATTTACAAAGCTTTGGTGAAGTTTTCAAATGATTTGTCTTTTTAAGCAAGTCTATGATAGCGTGCAGTGTCCCGGTGAAATGATTTTGAATCTATGGATATTTTAAAACACAGCTTACTTCATAATATCATAATAATCCTGGCAAGTGCATATCAAATTTCCATAATATTTTGCTTTTCACACTGATTGCAGCAGTTGCTAATTAAGGTTTCATAAAGATATTCCAATGACCTTTACCTGACAGGAAATAACAACAAACTGCATTGAATGGAAAATAATGTATAACTCTTAAATAAATTCTTAGCAATTTCCTTTCAACATTTTATCTGTACATGAACTTTGATATTTCAAGCTACCCTTAGGAAGTACAAGAAGGCATAGAATCTTGCTGGGGTTTTTGGTTCATTACAATTTCAATTCAAATTTTATTGGTCTTTTGAAGCAAATATGCAAAACATACATTTTAACCTTGTTGGTAATAAAATCAGCATCTGTGAGCTATAAGGTAAAGGTAATACTTGTCAGTGACGGTGCCCCCTCACCCAATCAGCTACCACACATCAGACTCAAAAAAAAAAAAAAAAGAGAAACATTTTTTATTTTTATTATTCTTTGGGCATCATAGGTTCCAAAACGTTTCATCATCAGAACAGCTTAAGGTGGCCCAAAATTGCTTAGTTGTTATAGGCAGTAGGAAGTTTAGGCCCTTGTGCTTCCAGTAGACTTAAACCCTGGACCCCACTGGCCTTTCTTGGTAACTGTCTGCCTTACACCCAACGCCCCAAGTATTAGGAAAATCCGCTGGCACCCCCCAGCTGGCTAGTAACATTTCCAATACAGTGCAGCAAAAAGAGAAGTTTATTGATAGCATGATGTCACATAACATATCTTATGCTAGACATTATTATGGGAGGTCAGGAATGACGACTGCTCCCTAGAAAAATATTAAGCCCTTTGGCTTGTAATAATTGAACATTTTAAAAGGTGCAATAGCACAGAATTGATAACTTAGAGTAATGTTTACAAAGCTTTGTCTACACTATCAAATTTTATGTGACAAAAAAATGCAATGTTCCCATATATGGGAAGGATGACATCATATCACATATTAAATTGTATGAAAAAAGTTAAACGTGTTAAACACTATGTTCCATCACATTTTATGTGATGCTTTTTTGATGAAATTTGATAGTGTAGAAAAAGATTATTAGACAGCCTAAAATAAAAAGCATTAAATTCATATCTCACTTTTTAAATCAAATTATAATCTACATTAAAATAAAGTTTGACATAGCAGCCTGTGGTGGAGCAAAAACTTGACACAGTTTCAACATGTATAAGTAATAAATTAATAAACACTACACTGCATTGGTGCAGTAATGACTAACTTAACAGGTCTGTTCCATGTTTAAAAGGCTGCCAGTGTAATAAAATTCATATTAGATGTTACATTTCTTCATAACATTTTCATAATTATTACATTTGTACTACTTGATATATTACCAATCATCAAAATGCTAAAATCAGGTAGTGTTTAATAGTTTTGACAAAAATATTCTAAATTACACAATTTTTCACACAAAATGAACAAATAGTCTTCAAATAATACAATCCAAAGATCACTGTCTGATTCAACCTGTTTATTGATAGAATATGAGGACAGGAAAAACGTCAATAAACAGAAATACAGAAAAGGGCAAAACTGTAAATGTTATATGACCCTTATTGTACATTACAAAAAACACCATGTCCATAATATTGTTGAGCTTTTGAGGAAATAATAATAATAAAGAGAGAAAGAGATGAACATTGGACATGGATCAGGTAAGGAATTAATAAATTGATGGGAATACTCATTACTACTAGAAGCATGTGGCGATGTAAATTACTCGTAACAGTCCAGGAATAAATGAGCTGGCAAGCACATGAGTAAAACTGTAGATATATCTATGTTGCGTTTTCACCATGCTACTTAAAAATGGAGAATGGCTGAAGAAGTAGGGCGGACTGGAAAAGCATATTTGAAGTATTAAAGAATATACATTCCTTCGTAATAACAGCATTCAAAGCCCAAGTGCTGAAAATGCTGCAACTCATTTGCGAGATTTGATCAAACAGAACAAGCCAATGAAACTCGACTCCTGCCAGTGTCTCGAAAACCACCTCGGGTGGGAGGAAAAAAAATTAATGTTTCGAAAAAGCTAAAGAAAAACTAGGTCGCAAATGATGAAGATGTTCAAGAGATTTATTCATGTGTAGCAGTCTATAGATAAGTCCCAGTGCGCAGGAAAAATGTCTTTGTTATTATTATTAAATACTAATATATTTAGTATTCAGGAAATATAGGAAAGAAGTCCTGAAATAATATGTTGTAATACAAGTACAGTATAAAAAAAGGAAAACATGAGATGTCATGAACGAAAAAATCCTGTTGGTTGTAGGATGTGAACCTAGGACACACAACCACAATCTCTAATTCTAAAATTGAAGTTGTGATTGAAAATACTATATAAAAAATATTTAATCTGCCTTTTATATTAAATTTATATTATTTATATTTATTGCCCATAGAAAATTTAATCACTATCTTAGATAATAAGAGACAATCAAGGCAAATATAATGCTCTACGAAGTTCTCATTATGAAGCTGAAGATCTGTCCAGATTAAGCTGTTGTATGACCATATATAGTCAAGGTGTATCTATATATGATCATGATGTGATGTCATCATGCCCATATTTAGGCATATCACATGTTTTTTGACAAATAAAATGTGATAGTCTGGACAGAGCTTTAGGGAGTGGAGTTGTTTTGGTCGTGGAAATACTGTCACATGACAGAAACTTAACCTATGACCCTTGGATTCAAAGGCAAGCATCTTAACTACCAAACTACAGCTCCACTGCATTGTACATCTAATCACAATTGATCCTGACTTATGTACTGCTTTTCATCATGCTAATAACATAATTTCATCAGGATGTGCAAGCTAGCATCATCGTTATGATGGACATTGTGCAAACAACACCCTCTGTTGGCCAGTATTAACACAGTCAATATCGTGAATAATTTTATATAAACTGAAGACTAAACCCACAGGTATTAATATAAACATATTATTATATCATAATTCTAATTTTTATCATTATCACTAAATGTTATTAATAGTTATTATTATCATTTTGACAATATAGTTTCAGATGCTATATTTCTATAATAAAATAGCTATGACTGTTGCAAAAAAAAATATTGATGAATGATATCATCATGTAAGTCGTGAACTACTGTATGGATGAAATGTTTTGAAAATAAATAATTATTATAAATTTATAAATTACACGAGGATTGAAAGTGTAAGTTAAAATGAGTATCGAGTATTACTAAGAAATGAATATGGAAGGTATAAGCGATAAATATTTTAACAACCATAAAAGAGAATTGAATATTATATCTTATGATGTGGAAGAATATCATTCCTTGCAGATTTCGCTCAGATAATTTAGTAATGCTGCCCCCAAGGGCTTTACGCTCTCAAGCACATACCACGCAAAAACAAACAAGTGATATGCTCCCTTTACTCCGTCCAAAGCACTCACCAATTAGTATCACTTTCTAACAAGATCTGATTTATATCCTGCGACAAGATCCGCTATCACATTGTTCCCAATCAACTGCGATGTATTCTCGTTCATGCTGCAGAAAATACCCGCTATAGATGAACGAGGAAGCTTACTACAAAACTATGCGGTATAAATCACTCCATGCTTCAAACAATTAGCATAATACGAGCTTGGATCCCTACAGGCCTTATCGTCATAAACCTTCCACTTAGTTTTGTTGCAATTAATTTGTAAAAACAGACACTTTGTACACAATATCATCGCAACCTCGTCATTTAGAATAACTCCAGCCAATGGATTTGATTTATGGCATGCTAAGCTCACAAAAGCACTTTCATGAACATTCAAATAGTATCATGTGCAAGTACATGTTGTAAATATAATACAAAATATTAATTATAAAAGAATTCAACAAATATACAGATAATAAATGTCAATGTTATTAAATACATTTTTACATTATTATAAACAAACACATAAATAAATAAAACAATGTCAAAATACAAAAAAGAGTAAATTTGTTTACAAGGAAAATCAATACTAAAACATTAATTTAAAATAACAACAAATATATAAATTTAATCATTAATCCACAAAATCCTATTCTAGTAATCCACTGGGCTTTAAAATCACTAATACAAACAGTCTCGCTAATCCCATAATCCATGGTACATCCAAAATATATTTTTTTTCTCTTGCTCAAATATAGCAGTTGCATGCTTCTGCCTTGTCTACACCTTCCATCTTGAATAAATAATGAAATCCAGTCTGACATAATCACATGTATATCCAATAATCTGACTTGTTAATCCATCAATCCACTCTGTAATCTTAGAATATCTGTATAAATCCTTGATAACCTTCCAGCTTGCAAACCATTTTGCAAGATCACAAGATGATTTAATGTGAAATAATGTGCTTTGATCTATGCTCACTGTATTGCAATGCCAAATAAATATTATTGTTATTTTAATCTCTCCTGAAATCCATATTAACCTTTGCATTGATCTCGTATGCAGTTACCAGTAATCCTGAATCTGTATATTTCATATGAGGTCATGGGTTCAAATCCTGTTGAGTCAATGCCCAGTTTTAAGCCTTTTCTATTAATCTGTTTACTTTAAAGTATTAATCCTTTTTTTCAAACTCTTTCTAGTAGCATAATAAATCCTTTTGTTTTCTCTGTGTATCTTCCTCCTTGCATTTCCTCATTCAATTCCTTATTCAATTCCTGGGGATTTGCTCTCTTTCAGTATCCACATGCAACCTCCTCCTCCTAGGCCAATATGTGTATTGAATCTCTAATCCAAATCATCTTAACAATTATTTTCTTTTTTTTTATTCACTTATTTTTAATAATTTGTTTATTCTCATGATCATTTATTTACTTTATCTCATCTTGTCGACAACATGCTATAATTATCCTAATTTTCTTGAAAAGAGTTATCTAGTTTATTAATGGTTACAATATTCTAAATATATCCACTTAATTGGAGCAAGCAAGGTCATGTTTTGTTGTACTGATATCTCTACTTAAAATGAAGACTGAATTGAGTTCAAGATATGTGTTGCTACAATACATTGAGTACTATCACTTTATCAGGAACATTGCATAGGTGTATGGGGGTTATTGTTTGAAGGTTTGCATGGCCAAGTAATAATATATATTAATGCTTGCGGTACACAACATAGATAGTTCTGTAATGAACAGTTGTTGGTTGAGAATGTCTCAATCTTTCGATTGAGTTGCTTCAATCGTCTTCAGGAGAATATCTGCAGAAAATTTTCTGCTATGGGGGTTCAAATTATAACCCCCACCCTGCTAGAATACTGGGTGAGCCCATTAGTTTATGGTTCCCATAGGCCAAACATTGCCAACAAGTGAGTTTGTTAGATATGAATGTATAACGACCTACCTGCCCTGTCGTGGCCACAAAGCCTGTAATACCCATGTGAACAGGGAAACGGCATGGTGAGCTGTTGCTGAAAAAGAAACGAAGATTCAATGAAATTATAGGGTAATGTGCAAAATTTTATGATGGTTACCCTACCCTGGGGTGTTTAATATCTTCAGATTCTTATACATAATTCTTCATATAATTTTTATTTTTATTTAGTTTTGTTTTGTATGCAATTTTAGTGTTTGTTCCCCAAGGATTGATTGGGTTGGGTATCCAGAAAAAGAATAGATGCATTGGGGGCAGTCTTGATAGATGGTCACTCCACCAAGCCACACTGGGTTTCAGTACCCTACATCCAACTTTATACATACACACACACACATAATATATATACGTATACAAGCATTTCTAGCATATCTATTGCTCCACAATGTGTGAGCGTTTCAGTCAGTTGTATGAGAGAAGATACCTGGGGGTTAATCTGCACGTATATCCTATAGATCTCCATGGTCTAATGGATCTGAAAGTTGCCCTGACAGCGAGAGGTTGCAGGTTTGAATCCCGCTAGAGACACTTTTTTCAAACAACTGAATTAAAGAAACTCTTCATTGAAGGGCTATGCTTAATATGATTGTAACATCTTATTCCTATTTGGGCAATGTTATTATTATTTATCCATTTGCTTATAGTGTGTTCACAGTGCTATGTAGCAAACCTCATTTGAGCATCATTATACAGTATATATACTGTCTCTTATGTTTAATTGTATTTAATTATGTCATGTTATGTCATAGTAGCAAGGAAATTTACATCGTTTAATGGGAGAGGATTCATATCTTAAAATAGTTTATTTCCACCAGAGAGCATTCACTTAGCCTTGAACTACAATACAATATAAATACACGTAATTGTAGTGTTACCGGGCAAAGTAATAACACCTTACTCTGCATAATAACGACTCCTAGCAGAGTGATCAATCATATAGCACAAATTTACAGTCATCAACACAATTATTGCATAAATTTGTTTTATATGGTCCCAAATAAAAAATTACGAAGAACCACGTGATGATGTACTGTACTGTTCACCAAAGGATAAAGTATTCGAATATACACACACTGTTTCTAGGGATCAATACTTGTATATTCGTAATGCGGCCTGATCAATACAACCTCAATTTCTGGATGCCTACTGTACTTCCCATGACAAAATTTTCTTCATCCGTTGACTCAGTGTATGTTTACGCGAGTCACCTAAGTGTTAAAACTTGCGCACCGTTAAACAGTACATCAGGTTTGTTGGGGTAACATACACAAGCATATTGTTCTGGAGCACCTTATGGCACTATTACACACCTTTTATGTTATGTATGAATGAACCCTTGAAAAAGCTGATGGATTTCCCTCATGGCTGTTTGGCAAGAGAAAGCTTTTCGACAGAAGGGGCTACGGTAAAATGATACGCATTTGCTCAACTCAACTGTATCTAATTTAAGTATTATAATATTATTATATTATGTGGTTCCTCCATTAATTAAAAAAGCCTGCATAAAGAAATATGAGAAGTTCTTTTCCTTTCTCTACTTGGCATCATTATTTTTTTTCTTTTTGTATCATTATTGAGAGTATCAACAACTAAGAATAAACACAGAAATACAAGAATACTGAAATGGAGAGATAATGATGGGCGAGGGAGCCAGTGCGAAGTTCCCAGCTAACTGGGCCTACCCATAGGTAGGAAGAGTCAATAATTACAAAAGTAATATTGAGTATTTGAACTCAACTTTACTAGAAATATTCATCTTTTCATACATTAATCCTCACTGTTACACTATATCTTGGTAAGCCTACAACATCGCCTCCACAACCCGAAAAATCAATTTCCCAACACTTTCAAAGAGCCTGTCATAACAGTAGTATTATCATCCTCCTCAGATGTATTTTTTGCTCATTATGTTTACAGCAGGAGCAAAAACGTGATAATAATAATGAGTTTCAAACATGCACAGAATGTCAGGAGATAATATTGGTTCAAATTCAGCTTATGATACTATGTGAATTGTGGCAGTATCTAAAATATAGTTTGCTCAACAATATTTAATTAGATTTTTCTTTATTCAGGGATTAACATTCAGTGGTTAAAATTTGCTTTCCACGGATGTCCAAGTTCAATTAAAACAATACTGAATACAATATATTTTTCAATGTTTTTTAGTTCTTTGAGGAAACAATACTATTGTTGTATTTATTAATCTTTAAATCAGATTATAATATGATGCAAATGTCCCACATTTAGCTTGTTTTCAATGTTTAAATTAAGCCAAAGCAGTACCAAAAACACACAGAATGTGTGAGCCCCACATTAGGGGCCTTGGCAATCCTCAAGCCCCAAAGAGATGGGAGGGGATATCTCCTCCCATTATCATCTTCCTGTAAAATCTTTGAGATTTCAAATCTTTAAAACTAAGATATATACAAATTAACAACAAGAACAAGAACAACAACAACAACAACAACACCACCACCACCACCACCAACGAGAACAAGAACAAGAACAACAACAACAACAACAACAACAACAACAACAACAACAACAACAACAACAACAATAATTATGATAAGCCTTCTATGCGCTTCACATTATCATTACCCCGGTCATTGGATTAAATGCCTATGGAACACAAACTCGAGCTCCCTGGGGGAGTATTCCATAACGTTGCAGCAGCTACATCAGCGCATTTTGGCATTTAACCCTACAAGGTACCCACTTATACTCCTGGGGGAGAGGAGCAATGCAGATAAAGTGCCTTGCCCAAGGACACAAATGAAATGCACAGTGAGGGACTGAAATCACCACCTCAGGGTTGGGAAAAAAATTGTTCCTGCTGCACCAAACCATTTCAACTTACACGACTAATACAGGCCCGTATCCGGGTGGGAGGGGGCTTATGGTTCAGGAAAACCCCCTTTTCTAGCAAACCCCCTCTTCTCTGGCGAAACTCCCTCTTTAAATTTCCCAAATAAGTCCTCCAACCCCAACTAATGCACTGCAGACTCACCCAGAAACAGACATTTTTTAACATATCTGCTTTTATAGCATTATTTGGACCAATAGAGCACAAAAATCCTCTTGCTTTGGGGGTTTTCGCCGACCCCACCAGGGCTTCGACTGTGGACCTCACGCCCAGAAAACCCCCCTTGAAAAAACCTGGCTACGAGCCTGAATTAGGTAACAATTTTAAAAACAATGCTTAAAATAATTGTGAAAACAGAATGACAGCAAGTGAAACAACTTCAACAATTATAATTTAAAATAAGTGTTGAATGTTAGCATGGCGAGTTGACAATAATACAATGCCGTAGCCATTGGACAGTCCCACACAATTTTTCTATTGGGTCCACAAAGAATGGGTTCACATTTTAAAATTGGGTCCAGATTCCTCATATTTTGTGTAAAATTGGTCAACCTTTAAGGAAATGGGTCCACATTATTAATATTTTTGTGTAAAATGGGACAACTTTTAAGAAAATGAGTCCACATTAATTGAATTTACGCATAAAGTGGGTCAACCCTGATATTGTCCCACACTATTTACAAATCCTGGCTATGGCATTGCAATAATATACTGTAATAATTACTATATTCTTCCCCTGAAGTTGATTAGATTATACTAATCAAAACATTGGGAAATTACAACCCAAATGGTTCTTCTCAGAATCGCATAACATCAATTGACTGGTACCTACCCCGTACTTGAAGTGTTGAGATTCTGTGTTTTGTTCTCCAAATCTGAAATACATAGCTCGTACACCTGTGAAAATATACCCTGTTGAATTAGAAAATAAAAAGAAAGTCTTTTTACATTGTTCTTTGATATTTTCTGATATCAAAATAATCAATGACTTCTGAAGGTGCATATTGAATTGTGCTAAATATGGTAAATTTAAAAAGTGTTTTATTAATTTCAGGGATATGTAACTACATTTTTAATAAGCAGTCTACCCATACAAAGGCAACTACTACAGGATTGTAGTGGGTGATTTGGTGATGTGGAAGTAGTGATAAATTTCTAGTGGGTGCTACCACAGGTGTCCTATTTTAAAAGTTTTCCATTTTTTTTTTAGGTTTATGTTTTTAGTTCACCACAATCCAGTATCAATGCATCTTAACACCACTGCTAAAAAAACCCCTCAAAAATAACAAGTGCTAAAATAGTTATCCGAACAAGAAAGTTTTAAGAGATCACAACATTGAGTACATGTTAGTCAACAGATGGGGTCCAGGGATTAGTTAGCTTCCAGGGTTTTTTTTTTTTTTGTTGCTTTCTTGCGGAACTGCTGGGAGGCTGTGCTGATTTCCAGGAGATCCTTGTGGCTTGTGTCAAAGTTGCTATGGTAAGTTTTCAAAATAAAACATGCATCAAAACTTTGTGTGTGAAAGTGCATTTCTGTTTTATAAATTGTTGTTAACCTATAAAGGTTGTGATAACTTTTATACATTAGAGAGAAGATGGAAGACAAATTTAAAAAATAAACTGCTGGGTAAATGATTTTAAATTTAGTATGAATCTACACTTTATAATTTTTGAGAAATTCAAACCTAAAACTCTGTTCTATTTCTCTACCACCTGAACTACAGTAGGATACCAAGTACAGTACTATTCAGTGGCGTAGCTAGGTGAGAATGGGCCCCAGTGCAAGATTAATTGCTGGGCCCATTGATGAAGCATAGTTGTATGTAGACCTGAGTTATAGTGGTGGGAAAAGGACTGGGATTATCAAATTTCCCTTGGGGGTAGGGAACCATCGAATGCTCCAATGTTTTAAATTTTCAGGAGCTGTATTTTGAATTTTAAAGAATGAAAATTCTAAAACTACTGTAGGTATACTGATTCATGTTTTCAGAAAATTCATCCTAAGAAGTGCTTCGTTTTCAGTGGTGGATCCAGGAATTTGATATAGGGTCTAGGGAGGAACTTTTACAGACCAAGATTGCAGACATGCTGTCCGCATATGTTTGTCTGTTTTTCTGAGTCAATGTCACTGATTTTTATTTTTTATTTATTTATTTTTTATTTTTTTGGTATTTTTTCTATATTGCGAGTGCACTGGCATCTTTGTTTTTTTTGGGTTTTTTTTGGCTCGGGCACCTCACTTAGGGTGGCCATCTCATCGAGCTTTGCTCTAATTGGTCATTCCCTACCGTTTGCTTTTATTCAATTTATAAATATGTATCGATAGATTTTTTTCCTTTAAACGGTGAATAAACTTGAACTTTGAACCACCTCAGTCCCAGAATGGCTGGGGTGGAGGTACTGTAAGAAAATTTATGACTACGTTAGACCTAAAGTTGATTAATGTTTTCCTTTTTTCCCCCAATTTCTTTTTCATAATTTTTGAAAATGAACACAGTAATCCATAATTACACCTCTAAAACCCTAAATATTATTGAGGAGCCCACTGGCTTTTTCAAAAAAAGTTATTTCTAATTATTATTTTTAGGCCTATTTATGAATGGGCACCTAACATCCCTGGCCCCAGTGCACTGCCCATAGCTACGCCACTGGTACCATTATTGTTGATATGAAATATATATAAACTTTTATTGCAACATACTGTTTGAGGATTGTACTATATGTACATTTCAGATTTTCTAAAATTCTGCAATAAATTCATCTGATATCTTGTAATACTGCTAAAATCTGGAGAAAAAATTGGGGGTGAATCGATAATAATAATGGATAGATGCATCAGTTGGTTTTGCAAGCACCAACAAGATCAACTTATTGGTAAGTGCAAGTACTATCTCCTCAAATTTATATTATTATTCACAGAGCCATGACATTTAGTATTAAGTATAAGGAATTACAAGATCTGTAAACTACATATTATACTTCATATATTAATCGTTGGATATTGGTAAAACTATTTTTAAGGCAAATATAAAAAATTATTTAAAAAAAATTTATATTCAATACTTGCTTATTCGCAAGGCAGTTTAGCAAGCAACAAGAAGCCTTCAATAATTAACATGTTCAAATTTACATAAATCTGTTACATATAAACCTACAATAATCCAAAATCTTTATTAGTGTAAAAAAACCACAATGGAAAGTATGATATTAAGCTACATCCTTTTGCAGATTGCATACAAATTATACATGTACATCTAAGGACATATAATCCTTCACAAGCTGAGAATCGTTTCCAATCGCTGGATCCCGCTGATCTCTCCAAAGTGACGTTAAAACCACAATTACAGCTATTAATTGAGGTTAATAACACAGCATGTAAATTTAAGTTGTGAATTGGGTTTTTATTGTTAAGCAATGATTACTCATAGTCTATTAAAATAACAACAGTAATTCTTAATGATTGCATTAAATGGATGGCCTATATAAATAGAGATTTTATAGTTTCCGTATGGTAAGACACACAAACACAAGAAAAATATCTTAAACTCTGCAATAGACTAATGTATCGATTATAAAACAGTGTACGATGTACGACTGACATTTACTAGAACCGCAGGTCAAGAGTCAGCAATGGCAACATAAATGCCCCGTCCCAAAACAAATTACAGCACTGAACTACTCTTTCACAGAGAAACAGGTCAAATCATTAAAATGGTAACTGAAAAGATAATGAAAATCAATGAAAAAAAACCCACAACCACTCAAAAATGTGATATTTACGCCTATAAGCATGATAATACCTCCTTGCTATAAGCAATAATAATTATTTTAATCTGATGAAGCTAATGAAATAAATCCATCAAACAAACAAAAAATAAAAATTGAAGATGCAACTTATCTGAAAGACAATGATTATTGATGATGGTAATAATGATGATAAAGGTAACTGAATATAGTAATAATAGTGGTGATAATGAGGATGACGATGGTGATGATGGTGATGATGATGATGATGATGATGATGGTGAAGATGGTAATGATGATTATTGTGGCAATGATGATGATTATGATAGGAATGAAAAAGATGATGATGATACTGATGATGAAGTTTATCAATCATGATAATGACATCAATGGATATATGGAATATTTTATAATTTTAAAGCAATGTCACATTTGAATAAATAAATAAAATGAACTTACAAAAAATATAAACACCTAGGTATGTCAGTTAGCATTCTACTGAATGAGTCCTAGTATGCTAGACATTTTTGGACCATTATTAAGTTTGCTTAAACTGGCAAACAAGTTAATAGACGCAGATTCCGGAATGTTAGTCTGCATATAAACAAAGATTGACATAGTGAACTGAACTATACCTGGATGGGAAGAAATATGATCTTCATCAGTGAAATATGCACTGTTAGATATTACAATTGCCTATGGTGCTTGGAAAATGGAACATTTAGCATTTCAAATGATTAGTAGCAACTTCTCAGATTTCATCAGTAACCACTTCTGGAAGGTTTTATTGAGAATAGACTAAACAGAAAATCTATCCTCTACTCACATTTATTCCCAGCTAATTCCTAGCCATTTTAAGAAATCATTAGTATTGGCAGAAAAAAGGCCAAAAACCCTTGGCAATTTGAAAAGCACATTAAATAAATTTCAAGCCAGGAAGTGAAATAAGGACTATAAAAGCGAATTATTAAAATCAATCAAAAATATAGGTCATTAATAGACATCCATCCATCAGAAAAGCGTCTAAATTTCTAGGGAATGTTTACAACGTTCATGTTTAAATTTGTATGGAAATTGAATTTCCAATAGCCAATGGGTATAGCTATTTGAAGTCTGGTTGCCATGAAAATACAACATGTTATTGCCAACAGGTTTTGGCAACACTGCTTCCGATTTTATGTAAAGAGGGCTTAATAAAGCATTTACTGTCAATTTTTAAGGGCACTGTTAGAAAATACTGACTTGCAATAGCTATTACTGCTTGGAAAATTGCCTGAAGGCCCAAAAGGGGCTAAAGGCAATTTTAAAAATATAATAATCATTATTTGCATGCTTTTGATCAATACGAACATTTCTTACCCTGTCCTAGTTTATTAAAAGAATAAAAAAAATATATTATGAAAGATAAAAGAAAACTAATACATTTTTTGTGAAATGTTCCCTGAAAGCCATCTGATAATGACAGATGTCGATGAGATGTTTGATCATGTTATTCTGATTGATCTGCTCAACTATGTTTTTTATTTTTTTTTAACGAAAGGATGACATATGGTATAAGACATATTGTTCAAAAACAAACATTAAGTAGGTCAGTCTTATCAAATGCAGGTGAGGAGGATTCTACATAGTTTATCTGTCATAAGCCATTAAAAAAAATATAAATTATTGATTCAATGTTATTAATCTGGTCATCCATTAATATTATCATTTTAAATTCTTTCAATTCAAGTAAGTACATAAATCCATGTCCAGGGGTGTAGGCTGGTTTCGATCTTGGGGGAGTACTCCCCAGCCTATGCCTATGATGTTAATTTATTTATGTAATTTATATTAATTTCTCTTTCAAAAATTAAAATATCAAACATATTCATAATGATATTTTTTTATTGAGTCCTTTCCATGTCTAAGCTCCTAGTGAGTATCACATCAGTGTCATAGTAACATTAAGGGTTTACACAATGTGAAAAATGTTTTTCTACCCTGGCTTTATGAATACAGTTTTCTTGAATTTAGCTTGATGTTCAGGCCACCTGCATAAACACTCTTTTGAAATATGCATGACCAGTAATAATGAAATGAATGTTGATTAGCATATCCATTTGGTACAGCAGGTAGGTGCCAGTTTTGTCTACAGAATGTTTTAGGTTCAAATTATATGATACAATGTTCCATCAGATTTAAATTTTGATCAACATTTTTTTGATCAACTTTTTTTGCAACTGCATTACTTAATCACTAACTTACTTAATTACCAATTAATTTATACTTATCAAAATCAATATACTTAATTAATAAATAATACTATTGATTTAATTAGCACTTAAAACTAGTTTACATGTAATAAAGCTATTATTACAAAGTGCACATTACATTATATGCGGAGAAGTTCATAAGAGTTCAAAAGATGGAATGTTTAGGGAGCCAGAAGTGTAAAACTGCCTTGAACCAATAATCATAATTAATTAAATCAATATCATTGATAATATTAATATTGTCACGCATCTATTAGTGTCCTGTACTTTTATATACTGCTGTACATTTATATAGTGCTGTATAAAGTATATGTTGACTATGCATATCTCCTACCCCCATGTGCAAAATGTAATTTATATATAAAAATATTATGTGTATATTATATAAGCTCATTTATTATGTAACATCAACATTGAATAACAACAATTCCATTAAGGAAGCGACTGTTGATGTCTTCACGTAAAACATCCTTCGTGCACTTAAACATGGATGTAACACAATCTTCTGGCTAAGCATTTACCTTCCATAGCACTATACTATCATATCCCCAATGCAATTCATCTAGCCTTATACCCCCTCCATTCAGATGCAAAACAATCCTGCCTTCAGATTGTACCTATTTTTTCACTGTCCTATCACACTTGAGTATTTAATTAAAAGCAGTGCATTTCAATTTTCCATTAATTTCCTCATTATTAATGAGATTCAAATCTATAGCAAAAATTCATCTATTTCTTTTGATGGTTTACTATCATTTTGTTGACAAAAGGAAATGGTGAATATGTAAACAGTCATAACTAAAAAAAAATAATCAGAATTCCAATATTTTTTTCAGCAATTATGTCACGCATAAATGGTTTGCATAAATGCAAAGACTGTTTCAAAGCTAATAGAAAATTTAAATGGCAAATTTGCAGTAATAAAATTCAAAACCTGCATGAACGTCATGTTGCGCAAGTTATTTGCTACTACCTCGGAAATAGCTAGTCTGTTTCTCTCGTTTGCGATTATAAATGCACTCTTTCTACATATATCAACAGTCCAAGTGTTTTAAACTCTTCTCCCCTAAGGAAGCCATCATATCAAATAGCATCTACTTGTTTATGAGCCATATATTCACAATATGTGCTAAACCACACCAAATAAACCATGAAAAACGGTTCCACTCGTAAATAATTACAGCAGTCGTTTGCACGCCATCTTCCAAAGTTAATAAGCAACAATCCAGACTAGTCGTGGGACAAAAAAAAAGGTATTAATTTTCCCTCCTAAAACGACTTAGAAAGTGATAGAGTTTTCTTCATTATAATAAAATATTAAATTTTATTATTCTATGAAAATGTTTTCGTAAATTTCAAATAACGCTTATTATATGTTAGTAAGCATGTATGTGACACAGTTAAGCATGATGACAAATTTGAATGTTTATATATTTATGTAAAAGTAGCAGCATTTAAGCAGCTAAACTGTTAAATATACATTCAAGACTATATCACTTGAAAATAGATCTAATAGACTTATTATATTGCCAAACTATAAAAATATGTCAAAAAATCAGATAAAAATTCCTTTATTGATGAAGGCTTACTTTTTTTTAAAAGACACTTATTTAGAAAAAGCCACCAATTAGACTATACGGAAATTGCTTGTGATATGTATCATTCAATACCAAAACACAGTCCTATCACAAAATATTAGATAAATTAAATAATACATTAAAGAAACAAAAATTCCTAAATTCATTAAGCCAAATTTAGGAACTCCAAAAATTAATAAAATAAAAAAAAAATAAGAATCGTTTTATTTATGCATCCAGTAATTGGTGAGAATATTTTCTCATTCTAATTTTAAATTTAATGCTATAACAACCTAATTTATATATAAATTTTGCAAGTTATTTTTAGATCAATGCAGATAGTATATCTTTAATGATGCAATATACTACTAACATACTATGGTATCTAATTTATGCATTCAAAACATAGACGTTTGACATTTAAGAAAACAGAGTTAAACCGTTGAACTAAATTCAACTTCCCTATTAAAAATAGAGCTATAACCACTAAGTCTATTAAAGTCTATTATTACGAAGATATATTGTTGTAGGATGCGCTATAATGTGCCTGGATTGAACACCAAATTGGAATTTTAAACAGGATTTAGAATCCTTAAATGAACAACAACCTTTATATCTTAAAACTTTATTGAAGTGGAATGGAGCCTGGTGGTTTTTATGTTTTCCTTTTAATACAAGTATCTTGGGTTAAAATTCTTAAAAAATAGCAAGATTTCTGTTGTCATAAAACAATTCCACTTCCTAACTTGAATAATAACTGGTGAAAAGGAGAAGATCCAGGGGTTTCTTTTGCCAGGGGTCGCAAGGCATTATCTTAAGACCTATAGTGTAGTGGATGGTGTTAGTGTGTTTTATTCTTTACTGTGGGGTCCAGGGGAGTAATCCACTGGAAGTTCTAGAGCCATTTTAGTCATTAATCTCTTATCTAAACAATTTCATGCTCGGTTAGATTTTTGCCCAGGTCCCCACAATTGGAAGGCATGCCATATTCACCAAGCTAAAGCTTCATATTTATAATATAAATATATACTTTTCTATTTATATTATAAATATTAATATAAATATACACTTTAAAAAGGAAGAGGAAAGAAACACAATCATTCAACCAATCAGCCAATCAGCAAAAAACCAAACAATCAAATTAAGTAATCAACCAAATTTTTGTTTGACATACAAAATGCTAATGCATTTCAAGTAATGATATTTATAGGCTTGTTTAAAGAATAAGTTGAATTGACAGATGTTAATTGCTTTGTAGTAAATTCCAAAGTTCAGGTCTGTGGTAAAAAAAAAACTTAATTTTTCTACCATCTAGTCTGGAGGATATTACATAAAACCAGTGGCGGCGCCAGCGGGAAGGCAGGGGGGCTTAAGCCCCCCCATCAGTTTGGTCAAGCCCCCCCCCCCATCGGCCAAAGCTCGTTGGGCAGTCAGACCAAAAGGAAACAAAAAATAGGCCTAGTTTTCCCATCCCAGCCATTTCCGGCAATCTAGAAGTCCCAATTTTAAAACAAATCTTGTTTTGGGCGGAGGGGACATCTCCTGCCATACCCACCCCCGGCTCGGGCCTTCAGCCCTCAGATAATGCTGCACACTAGCTCCCTAGTCCGACATCTTAGGGGGGCCCCCCAATAAATTATATCCATAGCCGCCACTGCATAAAACACCAAATTGAGAACAGTAGCTACTGTATCTGAATGGCAGAGTGGTTTATTGGCAAAATTTTATCAGAATCTGCAACACACATATATTTCCGAGAAATACTTAGGGCTCCTGCTCTTAAAAAAGCCATAACACAAAAAAAAAAAAAAAAAAAAAAAAAAAAAAAAAAAAAACATGAAGGGGCAGACAAAATTGGTTGTCTGAAAATACAATCATAATTTTAACATGCTGTCTGAGAAAATATTTATTTTTTGCCATGGTATATTTTCTATTCTATTAGAAGAATCTGGACTTTTTCATTTGGGTATATTTATAGTGAAATTCGCACAATCCCATTCAAACAAGAGTGTTAGCTGGAATTTAAAAAAAAAATAATCTAGTACTAGTTTTAATATAAATATTGATTAACAAAAAAATTCAAATAAAATATAAATAATAATAAAATAATATAAAACACAATTGTTACAAATTAATACATCTTTGTTTTTGCAAAAAGGAGCAGGGGAATTTTTTTACAGCAGTCTACTAAACAATTTTGTAAAAAACCAATACAGTAAATATACCTCAACCATATACACAAAATTAACAAGAATATGTATATAATATATAAAAGTATATATAGATAGATATATATTGTATAATAAAATATTTATATAAAAATATACAAAGCACACCAGTTTTACTTTGGAAGTACGCATAGGAGAAAAGCCTTTTTTTAAAAATTCATAACACAATATAAGACAATATAAATCCACAAAACACATCAATCGGCTAAAATCAGAGGCAGTAACAAAACTAGTAGAAGAAAATTAAAAGTATTATAAACACCAAATCATTCAGTCATTTGTCATATATATGGCACATACCATAGAGATATGACAAAAAAAAATTATAAAAGTTGATCTAAAAAGTTTATATAATAAAGTAACACACATTACTTTTGAGGTGATAAAAAAAATTAAGAATATTAGTATGCATGCCCGTGTTAAAATTGAAGTTCTTTCTCAACACAAAAAAGTTTAAATTCTGTCTTCAATATAATATATACATAAATATATTTATATAGTTAAAATCGGGATAGGTAAGAGTATTAAAAGCAGGTGAAACTGTACATTCTCCATGGCTTAAATAAATGCAATTGTAACAAATACTACAAGTTAAGAGAGTGGAAAGAAAAGCCAAAGTATTAAAATGCAAATTATATTAGTCAAAGAATGAGTAGGGTGTTATAGTTTAAAAAGCATGAAAGCATGAAGAAAAAAAAGCAACCAAAAATATGAATATGCAAATGTGGGAGGAGCTTATGGTTATGAATATTCACCGTTTCCTTCTCCTTAATCTGCCGGCGTTTATTTCGCTTCTGTGAACATGAGCAGAGGAGGATTAGATGAGAAATAAAAACAATAAACAACAAAGCGATGATCTAGGGAATTTGATTTTTCAGGCAAAGAAAATGAATTAGAGAAGATGATTGGTCAATTGTTCCTGTCTCGTTCTTTTCAATAATGAAAGGAACAATGTATCACACAAGCATGAACCACAGCCAAATATTCAAATTAACACAACCATATATGGAGTAAAAAACATAAATTCATGAATAAACATGAGATGGAATGTCAGATATTGCAGTAAATGTTTGATATTATTATTATTATAATATTCCATAGTAGAAATGAGATAAACAAAGCATGTTTTAGTGTAACAAAAATAGTTAATAATATACATTGTAATAGATATTAATATTTGATGTTATTTATTTCTATCCTTTGACATTAAAGTATACAATTTGCATATGGAAAAGAAAAATAACTGTTACACATTATGAATAAATTATGAAACAATGTACAAATGGCATTTTGGATATTAAAAATAATTATAAGTAAAATATCTGCTTTGATTAACAACTTATATATATATATATATATATACATATATACATACATATATATAAAACTATATATTCTTAATTACACTATATATCAGTCAGAATCAATGATAAAAGATGTTTTAAATCCTGTATGCACATATTAAAAACACATATTAACACATTATTTAAGAGAGAAAACATATTAAAATATGACACAACATTCAGACAGGAGGATAGAAAACACAGAATCGCTAAGCAATCTAAAATTAAATAAATTAAGATTTGTTCAGGCTGCACTATTAAATGTAATAGTGACTGGGTTCACTTTTGATATACCGTCCGGCCACCCAATCGATTGTATTGTACCATCTAATTTTGGCAATATAGGGAACATGAATAAGAATAAATATGTTAATTAAATTCATTATTATAATATTTTACTTCTGAATAACATTCCCATATGACAAAATTAACTACTGTACAATAAAAACTATGTTATATACTGAATAATTTAATATTATGTATGTGATGACATCATGGTGGATGTGTTGATGACAACAATGATTTGATTTATGTGGATCAGTTAATAATGATGATAATGATGGTAATAATGAATGATGATGATGTTGGTGATAATGATAATGATGCCAACTACAATAAAGCTTAATAAATTTAAGGTTAAGTAATCTACACCAACATAATTCACTTAGTCTAGAATTCTGAATGATCTTACAGATCATCTTTAATGGCAATATTACGGTTATAAAAGTCCGTTAATATCCTGACGCGTGTAGATCGACACGACACAGGCAATGTAGAAACGACACCTATAAATAAACTTTTCCAACATGGAACAACAAGGCGTACTTCAACAGCTTAATGGGCTAATTGAGTTCTCAACAGGGAACCAATCTAGATCGGTGTTAGGATGAAGAGGTGTCAGCCTACCTAAAACTAACACGCATTTTATTGCAATAACAAGATTGACAAGCTGAGCAAATCTTGCGAATCTTTCTTTAAAATGCAAAAATATTTATTGAAAGATGAACATCAGATTAAATTTCAGAGATTGTTGGGCAGCATTTCTGAGCTGAGGCTTGCAGATTATTCTTCTAAACAGACTTGCACTTTATTCTTTCAATCAAATAATAAATTAGACAACCTTTTTTTTATTTTTTTTCCTAGAAACTGCCTATGATCTGTAGGCATGGCATATTTTCATAGAATGCCAATCAAATAATTAGCTGGCTTTGAGCTACTCTATTTCATTTCATTTCCATTATATTGTCCAAAAAAACAATAAAACTGACAAACAAAATAACAGAGAGAGAGGAAAAAACACTCAATTGGCAAAAAGAATTGCCAAAAAGTGGAACTAAATCACTGTCTAGTGGCTCTCTGACTGATGCCAATATATTTTCAATGCTCAACAATGGAAATTAGCCTTATTTTTGATCACTTCTAGCTAACTGCAAAATTCCTGACATCTTTTTTGAGCAACAATTAGAATTCAGATGAGACAGTATGTCAGTGAATCTTTTTATCAATGGAGAATACTTTTACTAGTAACGCTCCTAGAAGACAATACAACTCAATCTCTTATGCTCTTGTTTTTGGAAATCTATTTATAATATAATAATATGTTTGTATTTATATACAGGTGTAGTGCTCTGCACAACTAATAAGCTGTCCAGATTATCAAATTTTCTTTGATAAAAGCTCTTGTATACCCATATAAAGTTATGATGTGCCTATATATGGTCATGATGTGATGTCATCATGACCATATTTAGGCATGTCACATGTTTTTGTCAAATAAAATTGCGTAGTCTGGACAGAGCTTCAGTATGAGAGTGAATCACACTATTACCGCAGTTTTTGAATCGATGTATATTAAACACATACCCGGCTCCCTGGGGAAGTATTCCATAATTTGTTGCATGAAATAAATCAGGGTATTGGCAGTCAAACCTCTTAGGTATCCACGTATACTCCTGGGTGGATAGCAATGTAGATAAAGTGCTTTGCCCAAGGACACAAGCGACTTGCAAAAGCGAGGATTTTGAACCTATGACTGCAAGAATGAGAATACGAGCCACAACCATTCCGTAAACCGTTTTTAAATTCATTCCACCGGAATATGTGTCCAGGTGACAAAAAAGGTAGTAAAATGACAATGACTATTTCATTTCCAAACGAACTCTTTCGGGATAATTGTAGTCATTCAAGTACAGTATACTAGTCGATTGAATTAATATAATGATCAGAATGCATAACTTATAAAGCTTGGAACTGATTTAACACATTAATAAGGAACTGATTTAACACATAAATAAAATTTTCTCTTAAATTAGGCAAGATTTACCAATTGATTTCTGCTTTCAGTGTTGAAAACTGGTGCATATTATGTGTGTATTAAGCCTGTATGTTATAGTACAGTACCTTTTTGAATGTCATCTGTATTTAACTGAATGTTAATGCTGTTCACCTTAAGTCTCTTTCCTTGTGTGTATGTTAAGTAATGAAATTATTAATAATTTATATCAAACAATTTTCTCAAGTTTGAAATAAAGTAACTTATTAAGTAGCTGATTGACTTTGTGATTTTAAATTTCTTTTTTGGATTAAGATTAGAAAATTAACATATTTATATCGTATTGTAAACTTTCAATCAAATACGTTCAGTGTCATGTGCCCAGTAAACATTTACTAAGAATAATATACAGGGATGATTGAAGCTTACAGTTGAGATAATAAATGGCTATAAATTAGACTTGTTTATTCAACGCTGTTAATACCCTTCTTTATTAAAGGTGATAGTTCCTAATTTGAATTTAATTGCTAATTGTAATTGCACTAGACAATAAACAACATTTAAAACAACCTACGTTAATTTACAACCACTGGTTGGTATGGTTACATGGAAATTAAGTGTTAGATTAAGTCAAATATGTCTGTAGTACGTCATCAATTTCACCATTAATACATCACAAGTTACAATTCATATATAATGGTTAATTTATATTTTTGTTTTCTAAATCACTTCACCCTACTGTAGAGTATATTCTATGTATGCAAATTATTAGAAAAATTCCACTTCCAGAATATAGGGGGAATTATGACATTTTGATCCAGTTAGAGGACATATAATAAAACGAATAACAGAACAGCAAAAGAGATGGATTGGCCATAGTATTACAAAAGGAGGATTTGAAAATTGTGATTAAAGGAGGATATGATGGTATACCAGGAAGAGGACAGAAACAAACAAAAAAAAGACAGATGTCAGATTCAAAAATGGAAATAGATACTATGAATTAAAAGAGAAAGCACTTTAGTAGGGAAGAGTGTTAGAAGATGAACATCATGAACCTGCCAACTTGCAGATGACAAGGTAGACAAGGTAGGTACAGCAGGTAAATATAGCCTACTTGCATACATAATACAATGAATGGGCTGTTTTAATACGTGAACCTTGTCAAATGTAAAATCTTGTAATCTTCACCTACCTCAGCTAGGTCTAAAGCCAGGAATGGACTTTTAACAAAATAACGTGATAAGGCACACGTAATGTAACTTATCGTTTTTAAGGACCTGCTCAACCACCAGAGAGTGTTGTCTCAAGTGCTCACAGAAACCAGAGATAGCTACTTTGGGCGACGATCTTACAACCATTGGCCGACACAGTGCGAGCCCAAGGTAGATCAACATTAATGTAAATAAAAAATCTACCTCGTTTTATGACAACACCTGATAACACCTTTAGTTGTGATGGCATAACAATGTTATTAGTAGGAGTGACAAATGTTCAAAAAAGAAACCTTACTAATTTTCATTTAATGAAAAAAATGATAGTTTTATCTGGAGGTATTAAACAAATTAATGTTTAAAATGTAACAGGATTAGTAATGAGATGTGCAAAGCAGCAGCGATAAGTTTTAACTTTGATGATTGTTTACAGTTGCCATGAAAGCTTACTTTGTCTAAAAAAAAAAATCATTTTCATTATGGATTACTTAATCATCATGGGATAATGTAGATTCAAATTTATAATTTTCTTAATCATGCATTGAGATGTCACTTAGTTTCCCAAGTGCGTGATTGGATGTAACAGAAATCGGTTAAAATATCACAAGAGACGAACTCCTGTGAAATGGGTAGCTCTATTAGATAAAAACAAACTTTTTCATTGGATGTGTCAATAAGGTTGGAACCTTATATTCAATAAAAGTATGTACATAATAAAAATAAACATGAAGCATAAGCCAACAATTATAACTTGAGATCATACTCTTAACATTTAATATTAATTAATCTACTCAATTAACTTTAATTATATTTCTATATCTAATATATATGCTGCAATATTAGTCATAAATCTTGCTAAATATCAATTCATATACTATGGATGTCCTACCACAGTTCTGCGTATACTAATAAAGAATGACACTAATTTACATGCCCACATTCTTTGCATTTCAGCATGCATTGCG